TGGATGATGGAATTATTCAGGACTCCATCCTAAATAATCTCATCCACAGCCATGGCTTCAGCCACCACCTAGAGTTTGTCACAACCCAAATGTCTATGGTCCATCTGATTCTCTTGTTCAGAATTACATATTCAACAGTCTACTCAATATTTCCATGTGAAAATGTTAAAGCATCTCAATTGCACTCAAAACTGACCTTGTGAATTCTTTACTCCCCAACCAGTGCCTCCTCTAGGACTAGGGTTGCCATCTCAACACCTCCCTCTTGTTCACTCCTACACCTGCTATCCATCAATAATCTCTTTCATTTCCATCTCCTAAATTCTCCAAACTCTTCATGAGTCAACAGAGTCCCTGTCTTTGTTCATATTGTTCCCTCCTCTTCCAAGAACTCTTTCTTTTTCCTGTGTTGTTGATTTAAAACCTACCTATCTCTCAGGGCTCTTTTTCACTGTTAACTTCATAGAACATGTCCTAATCTTAAATTAAGAGTCATTTCCATCCCTAGCCACAGAGGTTAAGAGTGAAGGCTGTGGAGATGGGCTGCTTAAGTTTGAAAATACTCTATCACATATTAGCAATTTGCTTAACTTCTCTGCACGTAGTAACCTTATATATAAAGTAGAAATGATAATAGTATTTACTTCATAGGCTCTTTTGAGATGTCAATAAGAAAACGTATATGATGTGCTTTCAAAAGTGCTAGCTGCTATCACCATCACCACATCGTCACAACCATTACCACCATCATCATTACCACCATAACCACTACCATCATCACCACCACCACCATCATCTCCTTCCTGCCACCATCATTACCACCATCCCCAACATCTTCATCACCTCTACCCCACCATCACCATCATCATATCCATGGCTATAGCTGTAATCTATCGGGTTGTAGGAAACGTCATAACATATTTTTGGATAGAAAAACAGAAAAATACATCATGCCTGTTCCAACAACCCAATAAATGACTATTTTCTCTCATCTAGACCAACATAATAGCTATCTAACATCTTCATTCATTCGTACCTTCCTACAATTTATTTTCTGCTATGTAACCTAAATGATCTTTAAAAAATACAATCTCATGTTACTCCTATGTTTAAATCATATCAGTGGCTTCCCACGAGAGTGGGAGTAAAAGCAAAAATCATTAACATGATTTAACCTTGGGGAACTTGAGTCAACCTTGGCAACTGTTAAGTCTCAAACTTTCTACGTGCCTTCCAACTTCAGGATATTCACATATGTTGTTCTCTTTGCTGGTAATACTATTCCTCTTGACTTCTTTTTTTTCCCTTATGGTCAAAACCTCTCTTAAATGTTGGTTGGTTTCACTGTCTCTACTTTTCAACCCACTGCACAATGGCTTCTGCTCCTGCCTCCCCACTGAAATTGCCCGGCAAAAGGTTATCCATGGCATCTATTGTCAAAACCAGTGAACCTGTTTCTAGCCTTAGCTGACTTAGCCTTTCTGAGCATCTGACACTGCTAACCACTCTTCTCCTAAAGCTCTCTCTGCCTTTGGCTTCCCTAACTATTGTCTTCATCTCTCTTTAACCGATTATTCTTTCCCCTTAATTTGCCATGTTTTCTCTATCAGCCCATTAGAAGTGGATTTCCTCCATTTTCAGATCAGAACTTTTCTCTTTCCTCTACCCATTCTCTGTGGGTGACCTTCCCCATGTGCATGACCTCCATTGCACAGTGATTACCAAATCCTTGTCTCTAGGTCCTTTATCCTTCCTGAGTACCAAACCTACATTCTTCCAAGGAGGTATTTCTGAAACATCTCAAACATAATGCATGTAAAGCTGAATTCTCTGAATGTCCTTTTCTCTGTTCTTATCTCATGAACTGTACCTGCATTCATTCAGTTGCCCAAGCAAGTGCTTGAGTCATCCTCATCTCCTTCCTTTCTTTACCTCTCTATATCTAATAAATTATCAAATTCTGCTGATGCTGGCTCCTTAGATTAACAGAAATCTGTTGGCTTATCTCTGTGCCCAGTACATCATCATTTCTCTCTTGCATTATGGCCACAGATTTCTGACCCATCTCCCATTCATTAGACTTTCCTTTCTCCAGACCTTCTTACATTGCTGACAGATTTTAGCAAAAAATGTTTCCCCTAGCAGCCATTCTTTTTTTTTTTCTTTTTTTAAGAGAGGTTTTTGCTATAGGGCACATGCATTCATCAGAGAGAAAGAGATACAGAGACAGAGACACAGAAAGTGAGAAATCACCCCCTAGGGGGACAGCCACACTGCAATCCTTTCTTCTCCATTCTTCTCTCGCGATCTTGAGCATGTACACACATGCATCTATTGTGAATTTGAAACCACCAGGTCTGAGAGGAGAACTGCAATTGACCACGCAAGAGTCTAGCAATGTACCCATTATGCCATCTGCTGGTCCCTGCTAGCAGCCATTCTTAAGCTTGGGTCTCACTGCCCTTTCTGTAGGCCTTAATTTTTCCCTTAAACACCAGCAGGACATCATGCCACTCCAGGAAAATGTCTCCGCTGCTTAGGAACTACATGCTGTTCCCTAGTGGCTATCCAACTGCAACTTCTCAGCCTCATATTCTAGGCCTTCTAATATCTGTCATCACTTCCTTTTATTTTGACTTTAGATACTTTTCTAAACATTATCCATGCTCTAGTCAAACCAAACTCATCATGAGTCAACAGAGTCCCTGTCTTTGTTCATATTGTTCCCTCCTCTTCCAAGAACTCTTTCTTTTTCCTGTGTCGTTGATTTAAAACCTACCTATCTTTCAGGGCTCTTTTTCACTGTTAACTTCATAGAACATGTCCTAATCTTAAATTAATCAGATGAACTCTGTTTTTCAGTACAAAAGGGCAATGAGGTGCTCCCAAACTTGGAAATCAGGTTAACTTCTGAAAATTGAACTAGTAAGCCCATCAATGGATGCGTTAAGTATTTACAAAAATGATATACCTAAAGGAAGACTCAAGAGTAGATAGTTAAGGAAATACAAACATACCCTTCTGGAAGAGAGTGGCCAGGGCTTACTCTTAGGACACTATTATGCTTTATATCAGAAACCATAGATGAACAAATAAAGCCATAATCAAATCCAGAACAGGAAACACAGAGAGTCAACCAAACCATAATCAATGGTGGTAACTGGCCAAGACAATGAGCTTTTCAATTACAATATTGTTCCCTCCTCTTCCAAGAACTCTTTCTTTTTCCTGTGTCGTTGATTTAAAACCTACCTATCTTTCAGGGCTCTTTTTCACTGTTAACTTCATAGAACATGTCCTAATCTTAAATTAATCAGATGAACTCTGTTTTTCAGTACAAAAGGGCAATGAGGTGCTCCCAAACTTGGAAATCAGGTTAACTTCTGAAAATTGAACTAGTAAGCCCATCAATGGATGCGTTAAGTATTTACAAAAATGATATACCTAAAGGAAGACTCAAGAGTAGATAGTTAAGGAAATACAAACATACCCTTCTGGAAGAGAGTGGCCAGGGCTTACTCTTAGGACACTATTATGCTTTATATCAGAAACCATAGATGAACAAATAAAGCCATAATCAAATCCAGAACAGGAAACACAGAGAGTCAACCAAACCATAATCAATGGTGGTAACTGGCCAAGACAATGAGCTTTTCAATTACATTCTGCTCTGGTGTGTGCAAACACGGCATTTGCTATAACAGATGGGAGGCAGCCAAGATGGCATGGGCAGGCTGCCACCACACTGACCAAAGGAGACACTCACTAAGTTGGGGGACACTGATTTCTAGGACATGGGTAGACTGGAGATTGCTCATCCAGCTTTTTCAGACTTGGTTTCTCGAAAATCCCCCAGCTTCCTTTGTTCGAATTAAAAGCCCACAAAGCAACATTCTGAGCACCAATCTGGCTATCTCTTACATCATCAAACAGGGATACTCTAGTGTCTGCCTCATAGCGCAGCAGTTAAATGCTACTCAATGGGAGTTAGATTTTGCCTGGCTGACCATAGTTTGAATCCTGGCTTGGGTGGCTTAAAAAACATGCTGAGTGTATGTGACTGCATGCCTGTCAAATCCTGACAGGATGGAAAAGAGATTCTGGTATGACCACACAACATAGGGGAGTGCTTTATTTCTCTCTCTTATGAATGAGAACGCTGGATGGCAATTTAAAAAACGGGGGGAAAGGAGGATACTCTGGGCAGAAAGAAGGGTATAGGTACATTGTATCTACCTCCTGATGCTGTTGAGAAGATTTAATGAGATAACGTGTATGGAGAGATTGAGTTGATCTCCACATAGTAATTGACCAATAAATATAGGTGATTAAAATCAAGAGAACACTTAGGAATTCTGCTTTTGATGATAGTGTCATATACACATGCTTGAGGCTTCCTGGTATCCGGGTATCCTGATGAAGGTGAGTGCCTGGACCTATAAAACAGATTCTGTGACCCCTCTCAATAGGAATGAGCAAAAGGAGGAGTTGCTTCAAGAAGAACTTGGCAACCATCTTCCTGGCCTAAGGCATCTCTAATTCATCATCATCATCCTCAGAATGCTTTACCAGCTCCCTCTCTAAATGTACAGCACAGGCCTTACACCTTTTATTTTTCTATTTTAATGTAATCACTGTACCTCTCTAATTCCAATTCTATCAGAGTGTAAACTCTTTAAGGGTAGAGACTTTTAAGTCCCTTGTAGAACCTCAGAGAGCATAAATACTTAATGAGTTGAAATGAACTGGATCAATGACAAAACAAACAATCTGGATTCAAATGAATGCTATAACAGCAGTCTCTTGGGAGGTCAGAGAAGTGGTGTAGCCACCTCAGATGGAGGCCTGATGTACAAGCTGAGAGCATCCCTCCCAATGCAACCTCACTCTCCAGCACAGGGGCAGACATGGTAGAGTCCATGCTACTGTAGCAGCGTTGCTCAGCTGCCTAGGAAGGAGACAGAGAGATAGACAAAGGATGAAGACACCTCCACACTTACCCGGATCTCCGTCTGGACAGTGCATTTGACCAGTTTGAAGTTCTTCCCAGGATTGAAGCTGTTGCTATAGAAGCAGACCTTGAGGATACGCACGTCTTCCTTTTCCACATCTACAGGTACCACCACCATGGGCTCTGGGGGACCTTCAGGCCTGCGTAATGTTCCCACCTTTACTCGGCTCAGGGGCTCAGACACCCCAGACATCCTCTCAAACAGCAGCTAGGACCAGCACATCGCAGTTCTGCAGAGACAACAGAGATACAGTCCCAACGTGAGTCCCTAGGTCCACATGCCTCATCCCCAGGGGCAGCACCCACCAAACTCAAGACCTGTACAAAGGATACCTTTCCTCCAGTCCCAAAAACTTTCTTAAAGGCACCCAGCTTCCTTGGCAGGGGATGCTGCAACACCATGAACTTACTCAGGGACATAAACATCTAGGTATAAAAGTTGAACTTGGAGCTCCTAGACTTGTACACGCTCCCTTCTAAAAGCTCCCTTTCTCCCTCACATTTCTCCTCCTACCCTGGCTTCTAGGCAAGAGGTCCACATTTAGCAAAAGCAGCTGTGAGAGGAGGCCCCCTCAGCATGGTTCCAAGGCACATCTGAACAGAAAAACAAAACAAAACAAAACATACCCTCTTAAAAAAAAAAAAAAAACTCAGCAAAGAGCAAGTCAGTAGAAAAGAGCAGGAGAGAAAGAGGGACAAGAAGAGATAAGAACAAACAAAACTGGAGAATAGGTGACCCTGAGGAAGCTGGAAAGGAGAAGGCTGAGAAGGGCCCCATTGGGTGGTCAGGCTTTATCTGCCCCCTTCAACTACCAGCCTACCAGCCTAAAATTTCAGGACTGTAGAGGGCCTCAGGCCCATGAGAGCTCATCATATAGAATATCACTAGTTATACACTACAGAAGAACAGCACTCTGTACCAGCAGCCCAGTGTGGAAGGTCATTTTACAGGATGGGAGGGGGCCAGGCTGGACCCCTAGAAGACCCAGCCCTTTTTTTTTTTTTTTTTTTTTTTTTTTTTTTTTTTTTTTTTTGCTATAGGGGGCACGAGCTCTTTGGAGAGAGACAGAGAGAACATGAATGTGAGTGCAAAAGTGAATAATCAAGCCCCCCAGGAGGGATGACCATGCTGCAGTCCCTTTCTCTCCTCTTGGGATTTATAGCATGCATACACACTTGCCCAAAGTAATTTACAAGCCACCAGTTCCAGGACTCAAACCACACACTCAGCCATGTGGGATCCAGCTGCCTTAACCTCCACATCACCTGCTGCTCCCCAGGCCCAATTCTGATGACAGCCTGGCTTAACACAAACTATATATACATATACACACTATAGAAACATGTCTGTATCTACCTCCCTATCTATATCTATATATCTATCTGTACATCCAACTATCTATCATCTATTTATATATTCTTCTATAGGCCCATCCATCCTAGAAGTCTCCATGTAATTTTTTTTTTTTTTAGAGAGAGAGTTTTGCTATAGGGTTCATGTGTTTGCCAGAAAGATAGAGAGAGACAGAGAGACAGAAAGCTAGAAATTACCCGCCCCCCCCCTCCCCGCCCCTCACAGGGTAGATGACCATGCTGCTATCCCTTCTCTTCCATTCTCTTCTCAGGATTTTGGGCATGCACACACATGTGTCCGTTGTAAGTTTAAGCCACCGGGTCCAGGACTTGAGCCTTAGTCAACTACATGGGAGACCAGCAATGTAAACATTACGCCATCTGCTGGTCCCTCCATGTCATTCTTCACAAACACCTACTCAATATGCCTTGTGCACCAACATGTCTGCTATATGATGAGGTATCTCAGTGCCCTAGACCTTCTACAAGGAATTCAGGTGAAGTAATTTAAGAGATAATCCCAGAAAACACCAGTAAGGGAGTGAGTAATATGTGAGAGGGAAATGAAGATTGACCAAAAAAAAAAAAAAAAGTTATCGATTTATTGCTAGGGCAACTGTAGTTTAATTCTGCTGGAACTTTGGGAAACCTGTACAAATTACATCTTATCCAGAAAGTGAGGGATTTGGGGTATTTATACTTCTTCTAGTCACTGTCCCCAGCATCTCTGGCCAGTTCTGAACAAGGGATAACTAGGGAAATCATTAAACACGAAGATGCAGAGCTGGCAACTGGGAACTGGAATAGAATACTGACATGACAAAGCCCAAGGAGTTAGTAGAGGAGACAGTGACAGGTCTGCTACAGGATAAGAGAAAGGCTCCTTTTCTCTAAAGAGCACACAGTCTACTCTTGGAGATGAATAGACAAAGTGTCACATGTGTAGCTGCCCTCAGCTTCAGTATCCGCTGTGTCTATTGAGCCAGTGACCCTGTAAACCCCATAGAATCTATGTGTATGAGCTAATTTGCAGGGAGGGGCTTTCATGAGGGAGATTTGGGAAACAGATGTCTGAGTGAGGAAGAAAGTGGAGTGACCAATAGTGTCTGTCCTGCAACAGGCTGAATTTGTTGTCCCAAAAATTCATATGCTGAGGAATCAGCAGATGGCGTAATGGTTACGTTACTGGACTCCCATGTAGTGGACCATGGTTTGAGTCCTGGACCCAGTGGCTTAAAACCCACGCCGGGCGTGTATGTGTGTGTGTGTGTGTGCCCAATATCCCGAAGGGAAAATGGAGGAGAAGGGACTATGGTGTGGCCATTTCCTGGGTGTGATTTCTCACTTTCTGTCTCTCTGGTGAGCACATGTTCCCAATAGCAAAAATCTCTCTCTAAAAAAAGTTCCATATGTTGAAATCTTAACCTTCAAGTTGATAGTATTAGGAGATGGGAACTTTGGGAGGTAGTTACATTATGTGGGTGGCACTTTCATGAATGGGATTAGTACTTTTGTAAAGGGCCCAAAAGAGCTCTGTCACTCTATTTCTGCCACATAAAGACACAGCAAGACAGGAACCTGCACAGTAAAAGGGCCCCTGCCGGAACTCAACCATGCTAGCCCCCTGATATCAGACTTTCAAGCGTTAAAACTGTAAAAAATAAGTTTTTGGCTGTTGTTTACAAGCCACCCAGTCTATGATACTTTGTCATAACAGCTTGAACTAAGTCAGAAACTCTCATTTCTACCAATGAAAGCCACAGGGCCTGCCTTCCTCTTCTTTTTTTTTTTTTTTTTTTTGAGAGAGAAATTTTTGCTATAGGGCACGTGCGCTCAATGGACAGACAAAGACAGAGAGACGGAAAGTGAAAAATAACCCCCTAGGGGGAATGGCCATGCCACAACCCCTTCTTTTCCATTATCCTCTCAGGATCTTGAGCATGCATGCACACACATCCAGTGTGAGTGTTAAGCCACCGGGTCCAGTATTTGAATCATAGTCAACTACATGAGAGTCTAGTGACATAACCATTATGCCATCTGCTGGTCCCCAGGGCATGGTTCTAAAGGCTATCTGGGTATCTAGAGACTAGCAATGCTGTTGGTCATGCTGTTGGGAATAGGGACTCAGAGCTGGAAAGAAGAGTAATATGCCTGCACTTGCAGTTTATACCAGTTGCTCCTAGGCATCCACAGTGAAGGGGCTAGGGCCTGTCTGCAGCTTTGAGAACACAAAAAGGTGTACCTACTGACGCAGGCAACGTTCTCACCCAAGGCGTGCTGGCTCCAGTGAGCACCTGTGAGACACTCCAGGGACTTTCCGAAATATCCTTGGAGTACTGAGAATTTCTGAGAGCAGTAAGTAGGAATAGTATGTTGGTAAAACTGGAGATCCAGCTGACAAGACCTGGGGAAACTTCATTTAAACATATTATACATGTCGTTAGCTAGAGAGAATACTCATCGCATGGCAGCAAAAATGCAACAAGTGAGTTAGAAGCCGGTCTAGGACAGAGGTCAGAGAAAAGTCTGGCAGAGGGAAGAAGATTACATTTTCATGGTGCTTTTCTGAACTTATGCCATTACAGCTAATTATACAAAAAAAAGGTAGAGCTTTAAGTTTGAGGAGCCAAGAGAATGTAAATGAAGGAATAAGAATCTGGAGCAACAGGAACTCTCATTTATTACTGGTGGGAATGCAAAACGGTACAGCCACTTTGCAGGACAGTCTGGTGGTTTTTAACAAAACTAAACATACTACAAAGTCTAGCAATGATGCTCCTTGGTATTTGCCTAAAGGAGCTGAAAACTTACGTGGATACTTATAGCAGCTTTATCTGTAATTGCCAAAACATGGAAGCAGTCAAAATGTCCTTCAGAGGGTAAATGGATAAACTGTGTTACCTCTAGACAATGAAATGTTATTCAGTGCTTTAAAAACAAACTAACAAACAAAAAAGAGCTATCAAGCTATGAAAAGACAAGGAAAAGCCTCCAATGCATGTTGTTAAGTGAAAGAAGCCAGTCTTTGAGTCAGCCATTTGCATGGTGGTTGAGGTGGATCCCCTGCACTTCCAACCCTGTGATTAAAGTTCTGGATCTGGCAGCTTGAGAGACACACTGGGTGTGTGTGCCTGTGTGATAGAATCCCTAGAGGAGAAAGGGTTGTGGCATGGGCCATCCCCCCGGGAGGCACTTTCTCATTTTTCCTCTCTCTGTCTCTCTTGACTCTTTTCCCCTCTGGTGAGTGCACATACCAAGTAGAAAAAAAAACAAAAAAGATAATAATATTAATAAATATAAAATAAAACAGTCCATCTGAGAAGGTTACATACAGTATGACTCCAACACATGACATTTTGGAAAAGACGAAAGGATGAAGACAGTAAAAAACAAGATAAACAATCAAATAAAACAACAACAACAAAATCAGTGGTTGCCAGAAGAGGGGAAATGAAGATGGATCACTTGCATTATAAAAATAATATGAGAACATAACTTATTATTACCTCAATAGAACTGTATTCCCTTTTTCTCAAGCTCTTTTTATTTTTTCAAGAGAGAGATTTTTGCTATAGGGCACAGGCACTTGCCTGAGAAACAGAGAGACAGAAAGCAAGAAATCATCCCCTGAGGGGATGCCCAGGCAGCAATCCCTTCTCCTCCATTCTCCTCTCAGGATCTTGGGCATGTATACATGTGTGCCTGGTGTGTTTTAAGCTGCCGGGTCCAGGACTCGAACCATGGTTAACTACATGGGAGTCCAGCGATATAACCTTTATGCTATCTGCTGGTCCCCAGGCTCTTTTTTTTTTTTTTTTTTTTTAAGGTCAAGTGTTCTGGTTCAAGAAATAAAGCATAGAAGATTTTTAAGGAA